ACCAATTGTTGCAAACAGGCGCCTACTGCCTGCTGGGAAGCATCTGTAAATAATCCTAATTAGCACCATGAATTGGATGTTGGAGTAGTAGCGTTGCTTCCGCAAGTTTGTCTTTGCAGGATTGAAATGCTTTTTCCAGTTCTGAGGTCCAGGAGATAGATTTATTGCCTTTGATAGATGATATTGCATCGTGTAGTATTGCTTGGTTCGAAGCTGCGTTAGGTATAAAACGGCGATAATAATTGAGCATACCTAAAAATCGTCTGAGGGACTTTGCTGTTTCTGGACGAGGAAAATTCTTCAGATTTTCGATACGTTCAGATGGTGGCTTGGTTCCTGTTGCTGAAATTTCGTATCCCAAAAACTGAATTTGCGGGACACAAAAGGTACTTTTTGTCTGGTTTATTACAATTCCATGGTGGTGAAGGCGTTCAAATATTGCTCGTAAATGCACTCGATGCTCTTGTTCATTTCTGGAAAAAACTAAAATATCATCTATGTAAGCAAAACAAAAATTTAATCCTATCAACACTTCGTCTATGAAGCGCTGAAAGGTCTGTCCAGCGTTTCTGAGACCGAAAGACATAAATGGAAACTCAAACAAGCCAAAAGGCGTTGATATTGCTGTCTTTGGTACGTCCTTTTCTTCTACCGGTATTTGCGTGTATGCCTTCACTAAATCTATAACAGAAAATGTATTACATCCCTGGAGATTTGTTGAGAAGTCGTGAATGTGACGGACTGGATATCTATCTGGCACTGTCCTCGCATTAAGTGCGCGATAGTCGCCGCACGGTCGCCACCCTCCATCTTTCTTTTGACCAGGTGTAATGGGGAAGACCAAGGACTTTTTGATCGACGTGCTGTGCCTTCTTGCAGCATTGATTCGAATTCATCCTTGGCGATCTGGTATCGGTCTGGCGCTAGACGACGTGGACGGCATGTTACAGGTGGGCCTGGCGTTGTAATAATGGAATGTCTTGTGCTGTGGAGTGGTTGACGCTGTGTGCCAGATGGTTTGATTAGATTTGGAAATTCTGATAGTAGTTTTGAATTGTCGGATCCTTGTGTATGAGTTTTTTAACGCTTTCTTGGTGTGATGTATGAGTTACACACGCGGTGTGTAACCCGGTTCTTCCATCGACTAGGCGTTTATTTCGGCAGTCTGGTAGAAGCCCAAAAAATGCTAAGAAATCCGAACCTATTATTGGTGTGTCCACGTCTGCGATAATGAATTTCCAGTCAAACTGTCTCCGCAGCCCGAGATTAAGACGCAAATTCTTTGGTCCGTACGTTCGAATTGGGAGTACCATTGGCAGCTTGTAGTTCATACTCTGATTTGTTGCATTTACTGAAGGCTCTCCTGGGGTACACGAAACGTCTGAACCGGTATCTACAAGAAATTTAATGTTATTGTTATTATCAAAAACAAAAAGGCGACCTTTAGCGGATTGATGATCAGTTGTCGCCACTACTGATCGGTTCCTCGTTTTTTGTGCTGCGTATTCTGCTATATGTTTCCACGTACATGGTTTTTGACATTTTTTCGCCTTTTTTCCAAATTGCTGATGATACCAGCATTTCGTGGTTTCTTGTCGTTCGCTGCTTCTCGATCTTGATCTACCTAAACGTCGAATTTGTTCTTGCAAATTTTGTACCTGTTTTGTTAATTCCTCCAGGGTGTTTTTGTAGTGGATGTCGGTAGATTGATTGTGGTGCGGCTGCTTTGTTGAGTCTACATGCGGGACCAACGGTTGAGCTTCTAGAATTTTGTCCGCTGTGATTGCCAATTTATCTAAAGGTAGGTCACTTTGGATTTGTAAAATGCCGCGAACGAATGCAGGCAGCCGTTGTATCCATAAAGATTTGAATATTGTTTCACCTATTTTTGTGTGACCGGCCAAGGAGCGAAGATGTCTCAAAAATTGTGATGGACTGCGATCCCCTAATTCTTCCTCAGAAAGTAGCTGCTTGATCCTAGTCTCTTCTGATGCACATAGCCTGCTTACGAGGACTTCTTTTAAATAAGAATAGGGATTCTCTGCTGGTGGCTCACGAATCACGTCATCCACTTCGCGTGCGTGCTTTTCTTCCAGGTGGGCGACTACATAAAAAAATTTTGTGTTTTCGTTTGTTATTGAAGCAATTTCGAACTGCGCTTCGACTTGCGCAAATCATAGGTCCGGGCTATTGTTCCAGAACGGTGGTATTTTTACTGCAACCCGGTTAATTGTGTCGTTTGTGGATACATGATTTGAGGCAGGTTCAGATGCCGAACCCTTCGGTGTCTTGGAAGGCGTTTTATCAGAATTCTTACCTGATTTTTCCATCTTCAGATCAGAATATCACGTCGGGGTCACCAATTATGTGGGTATTGTCCACATATATTCCACTCAAATAATTCAAATATTAAATATAATATTATTTATTATATATCTAATATTTACATTGAAATTAGAACTTAATATTGCTTCTTCCGGTTGGTTACTTGTCCGTGGTCCCAAGTCAGTACTTGTTGACTCCTTGATGGTTGAGGTGAAAGAGAGTTTCTCAGTGTTGCGCTATGCGTTAAATACTCTGAGCGCCAAGGAGTGGGGATGTCTATAGGATTTATTGTGGTGACATCTGGTGCAACGTAGGCGGGTCCCACAAGCGGTGACAATTGCAGTTGAGGCATAAACTTGTGGCGCCATCAGTTGTCCAACCTCGTATTTAGATGGTTCCCACATAATCTTGGGTGGTAAGGATGTAAATTTTTTAAATTGGAAGCAAAGACGCCATACCAAAATAAAAAATTGACGGCCATCTGTCAAAAGAAAAGTTAATTTTACGTCATATGTTAAACGTAACTTTATTTTTTGGAGTCTTCTTAGTTGTTTTGTTGCTGATGGTCTGTGATGTGAATTCGAATCTGATTCACAATCAGTATCTGATTTGTTAATGTAAGCGGTTTTATTCTTCTACTGTGAAGTTCTTTTCAGTGCCATTTATGCGGATTTTGTAGATCCGGTCTGTAACTCGCTCTAGAATTCATAAGGCCCACTGTAAGGTGGTCTAGAGGCTTCCGGACATGATCTGCCCTGAGGAATACACGTGTGCATGTGCCCATATCTTTCAAAATAAACATTTTGCCCTTGTTGTGATGAGCAGTAGGTGTTGATTTTAATGCACACATGATTCGGCGATGATTATCTAAAAATACTTGTGGATTTGTTGAGTTATCAGATACATTGATAATATCACCTGAAAGTCTCAACGTAGTTCCGTAGACCATTTTTGCTGGTGATGCTTTATGTCTTCCTTAAATTAGTTTTGTAGACCGAGTAGCTCGTAAGGTAGTATCTTGATCCACGGTTCAGTGGAACACATCTGAGCAACTTTCAATGAACAACATTCAACAAGTTGATGAGTCTGAGGGTGGTAAGCTGTTGTACATGTCTTCTTTGCTCGAACTGCTTGTGCCAAAGACTTGAATAGAGCAGACTCAAATTATGTGCCGTGGTCAGAAGTTATTATTATTTGAGTCCCAAATCCTTGAAATCCAGCACGCAAATAAAGCTTGTGTGACTGTATCAACTGTGATATCTCTGAGTGGTATAGCTTCAGGCCATCTTGGAAACCTGTCTATAATTGCTAAACAATATGAGAAACCATTAGTATTTGGTAAGTGAATGATATCAATATCAATATTTCATCTGGTACAGGAATGTGCATAGGATTGAAGCAGTTGTGTTTGTGGACTTTGGACCTTTGACAGGAGATGCATTGACGAGTCCAAGTAGTAATATCTTTTCCAATTTCTCTGGATGTAGTCCTGAGCTTGCATGAGAAATACCATGTATTACATCGAATGCAGTTTTGCGGAGTTTCTGTGGAAGATATGGTTTAACAAAATTTGACTCGATAATACAATAGATCAGAAAACCATCTAATGTTAACTTATGTTATTTGAGAGAAGTTTCTTCACCAAGCAGCTCCTGCATTTCTGGATCCAAACTTTGCTCTATGCATATCTGTTCAGCTGATAGTCTTGTAGGCATTTTGATAGTGTTGATCCTAGATAATGTATCTGCCACTACATTTTCCTCACCTTTCACATACACGAATTCAGTAGAGAATTGCGATATGTATTCTAATTGTCGACGCTGCCTGTCTGACGCCTTTTCAGGCCTCTGCTGGAACGCATATGTGATTGGTTTGTGATCTGTCTTAATTACAAAGTGTCTTCCTTCTAACAGACATTCAAAATACTATAGCAAAGATGGCTAGTAGCTCGCGATCATAAATTGAATACCGCTGTTCAGTAGATGTGAGCTTTCTGGAGTAGAAACTGATAGGGTGCCATGTTACTAAGCAGATATTTGCTGAAGCAGCTGGATAGTGAAGTAATGTAGCGTTTGCAAGAGCATTATTTACGTCCTCAAAGGCTTGGAGAGATTCTGGGTTCCAAATGATAGGGGTTTTATCCTTCTTAATTGAAATGCGTAGGTAACTGTTCAGCGGCGATTGAAGTTTGGCTGCTTTTGGAACTGATTTTCTGTAGTAGTTCAGCATTCCCAGAAACCTACGCAGTTCCAGAACTGTTGATGGTTGTGGAAAGTTCAAGACCACCCGGTCTGTAGATGGTGGATAGCCGTTCTCACTTAGCTTGTAACCCAGAAAATCTACTTGGGACTTGCCTAGAACGCATTTGTCGGTGTTGATAGTCAGTGAATGTTCTTGTAATTACTCAAATATACATGTGACAATGGTGTTCTTCCATGCTCTTAGATATGACCAGAATATTATCCACATATATAAACACAAAGTCAATATCTTTGAATATGTGGTTTATATATTGCTGGAAAGTCTTTATCATTTATAAAACGTAGATAATATTTGTGTATTTAAGATTAAAAAGAAAAGTATTATGAATTATGATTTGACAGTTCGACATGAGAGAAACAAGAGAGAGATCCGAATACTGACGCTTGCACTTTTGTTCTCGCGCAGTGCTGCAACTATGATGAGCCAAAGACTATTGTGGGAATCCTGTGGGGAAAAGGATATGGTTTTATTGTTGATCTCTGTAGTGTTGTAGTAATGGTTAAGTATTTATTTAGTAGGCTTCTGAAAGGTTTCTGTGGATTAATGGTAGAAATGTTGATGTTCTGCGTCTTTAGCCCTTTGCCGTCAGAGGCTAAGCCTGTCGTCGAATCAATCAATCTCTTGCCTTTCAGATCTATGAGCAAATTGTAGTGGCTTAGCAAGTCTGCACCGATTATGGCTGTTGTCACGTCTACTATAGTGAACTGCCAAGTAAAGGGTCTGCGCAGTGAAAGGTCCAGCTCAAGAGTCCGCTTTCCATAGGTGGATATTCGACTGGAATTGGCTGCATAAAGAAAAAGCTCTTCCTTGGCACGACCGGTTGCAAACTTGCTAGCTGGAAGTATTGAGAGAACAGAGACAGAGTCTATGAGGAAATGTATCCGTGTTTTTCTGTCTGCCACACTTAGTTGGAACTCTGGACAGACAGAATTAATATCACCACCATTACTTGCTCCTGGTGTTGATGGTGACGTTAATTTTCTGGGTTTAGGAGTCTTAACCAAACATGGTTCAATGCATCTAGTTGCCTTCTCCCCAAACCTGCTGTGATAGAACCATACCTGCGATTTGGACGGCGTCTTTGATCTACCTCTCCTGTGTCTGGCGTGACTTCTGGTCCTGCTTCTCTCTTTATGTTTTTTGGTATGTTTCAGATTCTCCACCTCTGTCATCAAAGCATTGAGTTTCTGCATCATGGCAATCAGGATGTCCTGGGTGCGGTCACTCCTTTGTTCTGGTGCTCTGTTTGCTGTGGCTATCACTGATGGTGGCAGTCCACAAGTGTCAATCAGCCTGTCTGCCATCTCACCAATGGCTTGTAGTCCAATATTATTTGATACAAGCAGTAGAGTCCGGATGTGCTGTGGAAGTCTGTCCAACCAAAGTTTGTGGATGATGTCCTCACTGATTTCATTTCGAGCCAGATCAATCATTTCCCGGAGCAGCTGCCCTGGCTTTTTGTCCCCTAGGACCATGTTTGTTAATAGTTTATCCACTTGCCTTGACCTTGACTCGGATACTCGGTCCAGGATTATGCTCTTTAAAGTATTGTATTTGTCTTTGGTTGGCGGCTTTTGCAGCACATCGCTCATCAGGTATACTTCATGTTGTCGCTCCTGATTCTATCTCCTTGAAACTCTGCCTCAATCAACAAGAACCACATTTCAGGAGAGTCTTCCATCAACGGGGTTACCGTATGCCTGTCCACGTTGAAAACTTGTTCAGATTTTAAGTCATGGTTCTCTTTTGGGTTGGAGTTATTCCCACTTGGCGTGCGAACTTCAGCTTTGTCCAGATCGATGAGCGATCTGTTCAAACCTTGCCAAGCTTTTATGATTGAAAGTGAAGAGATTGTTATTTAATATAGTGTACCTCGCTTATAGTATGAAGTTCAGAATCTCAGCCACGTGTTTCTTCAGTCGGAGTCACCAATTATATAGTCTTACAAACTATATATATATTTTATAAACGATTAAAACACGATTTAACTTCGATGACGATTTAATTTGATCAGAAAATACGAACATGTAAATTTGCGAGATCAAACAATATTTTTACGACGTATAAACAGAAGATGATTGTGATTACTTAGATAACTTTTTCTTTATTAATTATAGTTGGATTTTGTGCCTAATGTTTTGGTTAAAGATATGAATTTCTTGCAGAAAATGGATCTAGTGGGATTTTGATGTTTTGGTTCTTTAATTTGTTGTAAACTGTTTTCTAAATTACTGATAATCTTTATGAAATTAAAATTGCGAGTATTGTTAGGGACTGCGAAATTTGAACTCAATGCAAAAATGTAACGCATACGTTCAGAAATCTCTACGTTGGAAAAATTCTTTAATCATTTGTTAAGTGTGTTATCGTCTAATACAATTTTCGTTGTTTCCAATTTAGTTTGGTATAATTTGTCGAATTTTCTTCTATAAGAGTTTTTAAGTTTTGATGATAGTTTATCATTTTTAATGTCTTCGAAATATAGAAAGTTACTTAAGATTTCAGTTTGAACAACCTTTGACAGCCTATTCGTTATTCGTTCATATCTATATATATAAAAGAGGAACGCCTTATGTGCTACCACTTATAACTCACGAACGGCTGGACCGATTTAGATGAAAATTGGCAGGGAGGTAGTTTAGAGCCAGGAGAAGGACATAGTATACTTTTTATCCCTTTATTTCATTCTAATTCAAAATTAATTATTTTTAAACTATCCATTTAGTTTATTGAATCTATGATTCTATTAATGATTTTATCCATGACATTTACTTTCAATTGTCAACTGTCATTCGGTGTTTCTGTTTTGATACAAATATATTAATATGCTTTTTTTAATCACTACTTTTGGAAAATTATTACGTGAATAATATAAATTTTTTAATCACCACGGAAAATTATTACGAAGTGGCAAGTAAATTAATTCTTAATAATAGCAAGCGATTCCAGATGGACGATGGGGAAATTTATATCTTGAAAATGAGAATGTAATTATTTATGTAGTTAGGTATTTATGTATATTTGTTTATACGTATTTAAATAGAGTATTTGAGGTGTTTATATTATATATCAGCAATAAGTATAATCATCAACAAATTAATAAAAAAAATATTCTGAAATATAGTTTCTTGACATAACCTCAAAATTTGTAATAAAAATGTAAATAGCTTTACATTAATTGTTGTTAATTTGTAATTTCTTTATACATATCTTATAAAATGTTTCAGGTGTTTACAACTAATTGGCATATATATATTATCAGCAAATGTGCTTTGATTCGACAATAAAAAGGTCTAATTGAAGTAATCGACTACCTTAAGTAAACTATAGTGATAGAATATTAGTTTTTGGTTCTCATATATTATAACCCAGCTATAAACCTCACGGAGCCCCAAACCTTTCCAGCGAATGCAAAATTGTCGAATTCGGTTTGTGCATTCTGGAGTTATATCGTCAGAACTTATAACTCAAGAAGGCTGAACCGATTTAACTGAAAATTGGCTTTGGTAAAGTTGGTAAAAGTTGGTTCAGAGCCAGGAGAAGGACATAGGATACCTTTTATCCTGTTCGACTTGGAATAACAATAAGCAAATGACAGCTATGTAATCACGCATGGATGACAATTCAATATTTGTAAGGAATTAATAATAAAATTATTTATTTTAAATAAATAATTAACAATTATAATATAATGATAGTGCCATTGCCCATTCGTATAAACAGTGAAGCGAACTATGTATAACTCAGTATGGTTGACAAATCATATTTTTCTCAAACACAATGCTCTGAAAGAACTTATTTGTATAATTATGTACTCATTGGTATTTATAAAACCTTTTCTAGATTATTCAGATTTAGAACCTAAATTTGGAATCGATCAAAGGAACATTTTGTCGAATAGCTTATTTCCAGTTATAATTTTCTGAATTTATTCAAGAATGGATAGTAATATATGAAGATCCACGACCGAAGTGTCAAAAACCAGTAAAGCTAAGCATTGTTTAACAGCAGTATTTGAATGTAAAGGGAAAAATATGTATAATCAGCTATAACCTTGATTCTTATGACTTTGCTATTGGGAGATAAATGGTAATCTTTGAAAATCCATAGTAAAAGTATTTTCTTCCATTGGTAGTTTTCTAGCAATTAGTTGAAAATGTAATTATTTTGTAAAATACCTTTGAAATTAAAATATGACATTAGACCTGCTTGCCATCTGGCCGTTCCAAGTTACCCCGTTATAGGGTAAAAAGGTCTAGATACATTTTTTTTAAAGACAGCAAAAAAGCACGTTTTTACAATGATGAAGTAGCTGGTAGTTTTACTGAACGTAGTCAGATAATTGTTCATTTGAAATGTGTCATTTGTTGTGATGTAATTGGTTTGATTTTCATAATAAAATTTATATTTGCTTAAAGTCAAATTGGACCTTTGTGCCTTGCCCTGTTCTACATATATACTTTTTATTAAATTTACTTTTATTCATCGAATATTACTAGAAACTTTTCAAAAAGCAGGTCAAAAAAGAGATACCTAAATCATTTTGTATCTCTTCTCGCAGAAATTTGAGAAATTTGTATAAGCTCAATAGTATTATTTACAATTATACACAAAATCCAGAATTCAAAAAAAAATTCAAAAAATTTGAAACGCATTCATTAATCGATTAAATGGAATTTGTAATGACTATATAAGTCGAAAGACCAACAAAGACTTGGATTGAATTATGCCATGTTTTCTATAGAAAGTGTATAAAACTTTCAGTTTGGTTGTATTAATAAAATATATACAAACTAATGGGGTTTATTGTTTCTATAATACCTCATTGTATATAGCAATTCAAACAACACATCCTTACACAAAAAGTATTAATTTTTTAGATACTCTAGAAATTATTTATAAAATAACTTACTTAGCAAAACAACGTTTGCCGGGTCAGCTAGTATATATATATATATATATATATATATATATATATATATATATAGGGTGTTGTCAAATATCTCCCTTCCGCCTTTTTGTATTATAAACCAAGTGCAAAAAAGCGGAAGGGAGATATTTGACAACCTAATATATAGTATGTGTGTATGTGTGTGGTTTGTACAAGTATTAAACTAAGAACATTTTGATTTAAATTTATTAACTTTTTCTTTCTCTATTAATACTTTGTACATCATGAGCCATCGGTTCTCTCTATTTCCCTGGTGAAACCTCCTGGGTCCCATATAATTATTATTCCAGAAATTTGGATCCCAAAATCTAGGTGGTGCATTTATCCTTAGTGGGTTAGAATAGAATTATATAATAAATATAAATATATAATTATTATAATAGAAAAGGCGTAGCGTTAGTGGATAGAGTCCAGGTTTTAAGGGTTGAACAATGAGAAGATATTGGTCTGCTCTGGTTTTACTTTCCTACTACGTTTCTGTCTATGTGCCGATAAAAAGAGCCGCGAGTGGTAAATGTTATCTGGTATTCTCGACAAAAAAATCTATATTCATGGCGAAAATTTATAAAATAATTGATAGAATATGAAATAACCTAACCTGTATTGTTAGTATCTAGAAAAAATCGTTACATTTTCGATTTTTTTTTCAATTTGGACGTTAAGGAACGTGAAAGTAGACTGGGATCCCACTCAAAGTGAGTCCATCTTAAACACATTCCACATTCTTGCCAAGAAGTGCTGGATGGCATTAATTCCGTATTACAGTTGATTTTGCAACTAATAAATGAGTCTTGAGAATTTCTTGCATGTCTATACCATGTATCGCATTTAAAACATTAATAATATGTCGGTCGGTCTGTCGGGAGGACTATCTGAACTGCTACAAATTGGACAGATTTCATCGACAGGTGAAATATTTTTTAAGAAAAATTAGACAAAACTTTATCTGGTTTCGATAGGATCCATTTCATAGTTAAAATTAGCATTATTTAATTTAGCTTTTTATAATATGAAAACTCCACAACTATGATTATCAGTTTGTTTAGGGAAAATTATTGTATACTTACTCCATTTCATTTGTTCTCCAAAAGTTAATTATCGCAAAAGTTTTTAAAAATAATAGACTCTGTCATTTCATTGCGAATAGAATTGATTACGCTGAATTGTTTTATACTAGAATCTATTAAGACTAAAATCCAATGAGAATAGAAATTATATGGTGCTGAATATTTTATACCTGATGATATATTCATAACTCTGTTACTATTTTTATCTACTAGGCCAATACTATATTCATGCCCGCCGAGAATTTTAAATTATTCTTCAGTACATTCAAGCGATGCTAAATAAGAATCAATAATTATATCATCTAACCACTTTTTGTCGTGCACGGTGTGGTTCTTATTTTGTTCTATTGTAGATGTAGGGTATTATATAAAAATTGAAATCTATTACTGCATGATTAGGATGCGTGCCTATTGGAAGCTCTGAGTCAGAATTGGAACTCTTTTGCTTGTCAAACATCTATTTGAGGAGTATTAAAATAAGACTCTACAGCAGCATTCGAATGCTAATGTGATCTCTCATTGTCGAGCATCAACCCAGACCACAGTGGCAAACTTGGGATATACCTGTCCATTA